ATTTTTTCATTTAAAAACAGAGTTTGTGCTCTGCATTAAGCTTAGGGATCGGGGCGGGTTCCCCGTTACACAATAGTTGATCTAATTTTAATTGTTATGAAAAAAATAAATAAACGAATTATTGAGAATTATTATGATTTTATATTTATAGAAGCACACAAGGTTGTAGGTTTGTCTTGCAAATTTGTCCTTGTAGTTTACACCAGTAAACATTCGGTAACACTTTAGAATACTGTTCCGCCATCAATGAATAACAACACAGGAACAAATGAGTAATGCAATAATAACATTCTAGTCACTACTAAGTAACAAGAAACACAGATTAACAAATCAGTAAGTAATAGCCCTCAGCTAAATGCGGTAGTTCACTATTAGCTTAGTATCAGTACTAGCCTACTATTTTTCCATACCTCTTAGAGAAATAATAACTAATATACAGGTTCATAATTATTGTGAGTAATGCAGAATGTATAATTAATTCTAGAGTGAAGATCATGGTACTATAGTGACAAAAAAAGAATTTTGAGTATGTTTTGGATGGTAATTAGCACATCCTTCCTTCTAATGGAATTGATTATTTGGAACAGTATTCTGAAGTGAAGATCATGGTAACTCACCGGTAATGACTCAAGTGTTACCAAATCTGTCCGAATAATTACTATCCAAAACCTTACAAAACCTCAAATGCTTGCAGTGTCTTCAGTCAATATCAGAGAGTTATCATGATTTTCACTTTAAAATACTGTTCCAAATTATTAGTCATTCTTTCTGAAGGACTTGGTTTTACATGAATCATTACTAGTGGGTTACCATTACCTTCACTTTGGAATTAATTACATTCTGCATTATTCACATTAATTATGAACCTGTAGTAGTCCTCTGGGAGGTATGTAAAAAATAGTTTTAGCTAATAGGGAATTGCCTCATTCAACTGAGCACTATTACTAAATCAGCGTTTCTTGTTAGTTAATAGTAGTTACTATGTTAATATTGTGTTACTCATTTGTTTTTGTGTAGTTATTTATTAATGATGGAACAGTGTTCTTAAATCTTACCACAAATATTTGATGAAACCCCCTGTTTTCCTTTACACTTGTAGGGTCGGAGCTGCAGTGTGCCCATATGATCAGAGTACCACGAAACACATTGTTTAGAGCTCGTGTAATGACAGAGTTGAAGATAAACTGTACTGTTACTCAATATGGAGGATGTCACAGGAGCCCACAAGTGTCATGGTGCAAAATCTATGGAAATCACTGTAAAGCTTTAAATCACTCAAATTACACAGAAACTGAGTGGAAGAATGCGACTGAGCATGAAGGGATGTTTTTCCTGACTTTCCTGAAGCTCTCAATGGAGGACACAGGTTTATACAGATGTAAAGAAGGTGACAACTCTGTTAGCCATGCTATTAATGTCACTGTAACAGGTAAGTGAAGGTGTTAGAATTTAAACATTCAGTGGTAACGTTTTATTTTAATGTGGCATTTTAAACATTCATTTAGAACTACATGTCAGCTAATATCATTTGAGTATTAGTAGACTGTCTGCTTAATATCTGATAACTCTTTATTGTTATGGTCCTCCAACAGACATTCTACTGACTATAAGTAACTTAGCAACTATAACTTATTGTAATCCCCTGTAGTCTACTAATACTTTACTGACACTCTAATGAGAGCTAGTAGACATGTAGGTGCAATGTACAACAGAATGTGCTAATAGGACCATCAAAAAAGTAAAACCCATTCGGTTGAATATACTGTAAATAATAAAAGTGTATTTTAAATATTTTCAGTAAATGAGGAGGATAAGGCTTCACACAATGACAACAACACAAGTAAGGGCATGGCCATTACCACACATGATAATAGTCAACTTTTTGTTTTCTAAAGTCAAAGTGCATTAAAGTGGATGCCTGATAAGTACAGCAGGTATTAAATATTCTAATGCCTACAATAATAGGTGGTATGAATACAACTCTGAATGATGATCTGCAGTGGCTCTGGCCATATGTGTACATCTGCACTGGAATTGCCGGGCTGGTATTCATTGTTATGGCTGTTACATTACTTATCATCAGATGCCAAGGTGAGTGGTTTGTAAAAGATCTGTACATTTACAATAACCTGTTCCATTAGTTTTTGTATCATTGGCTGATTCTGTGAAATGTTTCATAGGGACAAATTCAAGAAGAAAAGATATGGCATGTAAAACTCAGGTATCTTTTGTTTTCATTTTAATCTGTAGAACTGTTTATTGTCTCCATTAAAAAAAAAGTTATTAAATGCTCCGTTTTACACTTCTACAGTACATGGAAACACAAAGAAGTGACCTGCCTCCTCTTCCACCTCATCCCCATCACAACACCCGTCCCTCTTCAGACCAGTCGAAGACTTTATATGGTGTTTGTGAAACTCCACCTGTCAGAGGAGTATCACCAGCTGGAAGAGCTGTTGTCACAGAAAGAGGAGAAGAAGAGAATGCTCTTGTGTATGTCTCTTTAAATCACAAGATTATGTCCAGAGGGCCAAAAAGAACAGCACAACAAGAACCAGAACCTTCAGAATATGCTGCAATCCGGTTCCGGTGATTCAACGAATCCTTTACTGAGACACTTTAAAAAGAATACTGAGAAATGAGCAATGAAAAATGATCACTCATTTGCTATTTTGTATTAAGAAATAATTTTAAAATACTCTCTGTGAGGGGCAAGAATCTAAACTTGGCATGTATGATGGCAATTCAAATGCAATTCAACAAAGGTCTGGCTTGCAGAGTTAGACGCGTTCCTGGGTCAAAATTTCTTTGTCGATCCTGAAACAACATTCCTGTCCGAAAATATAATCCTAACCATATACCCCTAAATCTAACCCTACCCATAAAATCAGAGGGAAAGGATAGGTGAATAACAATGATATAGACGCACCTAACCCTGGTTGTAAGCCTAAACTTGACATAAACTGTAAACTTGTCCTTTAAATCTGATTGGATGATTGGAGTGTTGTTCCAGGATCAGCAAAGATGCTGATCCAGTAACATGTTGCACTTGGTAAAATCAGGTTCTGTAGGATATTGCGGTGAACATGATTTCACCAACTACCACATGTTCCTGGATCAACATCTTTGTTGGTCCTGGATCAACTTTCCAATCAACCAATCAGATCTGAGGGACAAATTTACAGTTTATGTCAAGTTTAGGCTTAGAGCCAGGGTGAAGTACTTAAACATCAGTGCTATTCACCTCTTCTGATTTTAGGGAAAAGTTATCGGTAGGGTTAGGTTTAGGGGTAGGGATTGGGTAAGGACTACATTTTGGGACAGGAATGTTGATCCAGGATCAACAAAATATGTTGATCCAGGACCATGTCTTACATGGCAAAATCACATTGTGGCAGGAAATTAACCACACTGTAAATTACGATGTCTTCTATGGGCTGAATGATCCTGTTTATGTGCTATTTTAGTAAGAAGAGGTTTTGCCAAATTGCATGTTCACACCAAGACAATAAATATTGTAATTTGAATGCAGCTGTTAACATGTCTTTTTAGGCCAACATATAGGGCCCTATCATAAACAGCGCAATGCGGTGCCAGACACGATACAAGTGTTTTTTTTTTTTTTTTTTTTTTTTTTTTTTTTTTTTTGCTAGTTTCAGCCTGGCACAGTTGTCATTTTCTCGTCCTGTGCCATGTTGTTTAAATATGCATTTGCGCGCCCATGGGCGTGCTGGTCTGAAAACGAGGTGTGTTGCAATTTTGAGGCAAACTTTTGAGGTGCAATATACTATGTATATTTGAAGAGTTCAGATGCAAAAGCCTCTAAATGCCATTTGAAATTTTCTTCTAAAATGATTATTTTTAACAAACTTGTATATTTAAGTTCAGTAATTTCACTTAAATGACAATTAATAGGTAATCTTCATTGCCATTTAAGTGAAATTACTGAACTTAAATATACAAGCTTGATAAAAATGATCATTTTAGAAGAAAATTTCAAATGGCACTTAGAGGCTTTTGCATCTGGACTCTTCATTTCTTGTTTTTTAAAGAGCATGTTAGTAATGTGCGCCAATAGGCAGGTCAACAACTCACCTCTGCTTATTACACACACAGGGACAAGCAGCAACACACAAACATGCCAAAATTTAACAAATAAAAGGAATACAATTTTAAAGATTATCAATGTGTACATGGTGGAATCTGGCTTGTCCCATATGGTCTGCCGGCATGCTTTAAAGGTATAGCGGAGGATTTTCTTTTTCCGGGTGGGTAGTCTATACTATTGGTCCACCTAAGTGTCAATCATTCTGGTGATATGTTTACGTAAGGCCGTCGTCATTTACGTCGTCACGTAAGTCATTCACCGCATATACACGGTAAACATCTCAATTTGTCTAAAGTAGCCTTTTGACCAAATGATAAATGGTATCACCCTGAAATATTCTAAAACCTTGTGTGTTCATGTGTTCATATTCTAAAACCTTGTGTGTTTATTATTACGCAAATGCAACAAGCTACTTCTCCATTACATATGCAACTATGTATAAAAATAACGTATTATTAACAATGAGACATATTAGGTTAAGGACCAACGTAAAAGCACTTCTTATATGTTGCCATGTAACGTAATTGCGATTTGCAAAATAGTTTCCTCAGAACGTATTTCGTGTGATACAGGGTTGCACATATCATGTCTTGAGTCCTCGGTCACTCAATCGATCAGTATAATAAGTAAATACAACACGGAAGGGCATTTGACATGTTGTCTTTTTTATGAATGTTTTTGAGTTAGTTTATAATTTGCAACATAATTGTGCAAGGCGTAATAGACGTTCCCTCTCGGGAGCAAGAGTGTTGTGTTTGTCCATGTGCATTTTTTTTTTAAAAATTGAAGAGGGCGGGTCTTCTCTAAAATTCGGAAAGATCCTCCGCTATACCTTTAATCTCGTGCATGAGCAGATCCATTTGCTCTCTGGAGACGCATTCAGTCTTTCCGCTTGCAAATTCTGTCATGTACAGTAAATACAATAAAGTGCAACTGTCTTTTGAAGGGAATGGGAGCTGAGACTCTGATAGGTTTATTGCATGTAACGCGGACAGCCCTTTAAGATGGGCATGCAGGCGCGCTGATCATTTTTCCCATTGTTAAACAAAATTGATTTTGGACACACACTAACTGCACTTGCGCCGTGCGCTTTAGACCATGTGCTCAGATCGTTAAAATAGGCCTACTGTAGATTTTAAAAGTTATAGTTATCATCGTTTCTTCCCATGAATGTATTGTAAAGATGATTTATTGTTTTATTTTACTTTTTACAATCTTTCTAAAAGACCACCTGGCATTATAAGTGTCTCCCACTTTTACTTTATCTAAGTTGTCTGATTTGTCGAGTTTGTGCGCAGACTACAAACTGAGAAGCCCACAAGAGCAAAAGCATGCACACACATTTCCTGTATGAGCAGGGGGGAGACTGCAACTTACCAGATATGTTGGTGGGATTCTTCACCTCCCACAATGAAGAATAGTACATACAGCCTTTTTTATTCATGAAAGGTCAATGTCTTCTTATACTGTACACCTACAGTGAAGAATAGTATGCCCTCCTACTGTTAATCTATTAAAGGTCAATGAGTAACAAACTTGTATCAATGAGTATTTTTTTTTGTACAGTAGGCTACCTACTGATTGTGTCTGTTTATATGAATGAGTAAATTAATCCAATAGCCTATTCCTCATCAAGTTCAAAGCTTATTTGCAAGTGTATAAATCAGTTTGCTGCTGTACTCATTGTGTTGGTGTGTCTAGGCTGGTTTCACCTAAGACTGTGACTCATTCCTTTAAAGGGGACTTTGGTAAAAAAAAAAAAAAAAAAAGTTCCTTATTTAATCTCAAGATTGTATTTACCTTGATATGATTCAGTTAGAGAAGTACAGTTTCAGAATGTATGAGCAAGACTCTCCTCTCATAGGGGAGTATGGAATAAATGTGAACATGTTTGTTGATTGTTGCCTGTGAATCACTTATCGTCAAATAAACTGGTATAATCATTCAAAGTAATTCAATGAACCATTATTAAGAATGTTAATTGCTTACTTTTCATCATGAATTCATCAGAAAACCTCAAGAAAATACATTTAATTCCCACTTTAAAAGTGTAATGGCTTTGTTGGTGTGGGTTAAAGGAGTGGCAGAGTCAAAAGGCTTCATTTCAAACATTTACAAATAAATAAATTGGTAGGCCTGTTTGAAAACGATGACGTGAGTTTAGTCATGTCATCCATCTTGTACCATAGACTTTCATATTTACCAGTATTGTGCAGTATCTCGCATTCCTGCGAAAAATAAATAAATAAATAAATAAAAAATGACGGATCCGGTGCAAAGTTGACCTGAAGTGGTGCATTTTCTTTTAAAAACAGTTTTCAGTCGGGGAACATTTTACAAATCTCACAAAATTAGGAGAATGAAGAGGTTGCAAGTACTAATATTGTGGATAGATGCCATAATGGAAAGGGTCCAGAGTAGGGTGACCACCATCAAACAAACCGAATGTGGGACGATTATAAGTTTGTGTGGGACAAATGTGGGACATGTTATCAACACTAAAACATAACCTGAAGCTGTTAAATAATGTCAACTAACTAACTAACTATAAAAAAGCTGCCTTTCAGCTGATAAAAATGCTTTGTCCTTTAGTCAGTAAAAAATCTTTATTTTACATGGCATTTAAATTCAACATCACTGATACCAAAGGCAGCGGGCATCATGCAGTTCTGACCATGTTCAACTAAAATCCAAGAAAAATACAACAAAACAAAAACAACATGAAATTGGACAGTTTTATTATATGTATTAAGAATATATTAAAAACCAAAACAAAAAACGTTCATATTTTTAGAAAGGATGTGAATTAAAACAACCACAGCAGGCAACGGGTTAAACAACAGATAAATTCTGATTGACCGATTATCCATTTGTTTTCTGACAGGGAACACATGGAACGAATCAGCGCTCCACATTTTGATTGACAGCCGTCATAACCTATAGTGGCCGTGTTAACTCCTTTCTTTTAAATCATTGGATAAGATATAAAAAATGGCTGTTGTATTTGTACTTATGACGAAGCGCTGTTAAATATAGGTGAAAGACTACGCTGCAAAAATAAATAAATTTCTGTCTTAAAAAGGCAAAAGAACGCATGCACATTTTCTTACTATGATAATTAAAAACTAAAAGACTAATGAAGATGCGGAATATGCAATATATACATTTCCGCAATATGCGACGTGCGGGACAAGGAGTGAAAATGCTGTGGAGTACAACGCAAAGTGGGACGGGTGGTCACCTTAGTACAGAGAAACATATGGGTCCGAGAACCTTTCCAGCTGGGGAAAACTTCCGAAAAACTTCCGAAATCTCTGTGTAAACAATGAGTGACATACACGTGCAAGCGATCACTTCCGGCGGAACGTTGAATCAGTTGGACATGGCTGTGGTTACACAAGGTAAAAACGATATAGGGCAGAGCGGGGCACAACCTAACATTTTGGTTTTGGCTCAATTCATTAAAAAAAAAATTAGGTTAGATTTTTTTTTTTTTTACACAAGCAACATACACATCTCTGCTACAAATGAACACTTAAAGTTTTTTTTCTAGGACCTACCATTTTTGTACAGTTGCACTGAAAGTGACAGAAGTGCAAATGTTACAACTTACCCCATATGCGGGGTTAATTGTAACAGACAGAGGGGTTAGTTGTAACACTTATGTGTAACACATATAATTCAGTTCTATTTTATTTGTATAGTTTGATATTGTTTGTGCACCTGTATAGACAGATATCCATACTTCCATCCCTCATCCAATCATCCTTCTATTGTGGATTAATATCATGGATAGAGACATAGAAAAGATATTAGATAGATATTGATAGATATAGATATTGCACAGTTTTGCAATAAATAATAATACAATTATAAAATATTGTAATTGCAATTAAATTAGAAAAGTAAATTTAGATTTGGAAGCGTATACTCCCAACTCAGAAACCGAAAAAAAAAATCTATGATGAAAAAATTTACTTGCATGGTGTCAAAACACTCTTTGTCCAGTATCTTTAGTAGAAGTAGAAGACGCGGGAGACCGTCTTCTAACAGCGAGAGAAAAAAAGCGGAAAGACAACCTGCTTGATCCTGACTGACTATTTAAAAAGTCCATGTTACATTTAACCCCGCGTTAGGTTGTGCCCCGCGCTCCCCTAAATACTGTTCGTTTTCTCACACAAACCTCTCGTTTCGTGTCTTAGGCCATCGATGTGTACTTATATTTACGAGTCATTAAATCATGTTTAATTTTGACTCCTCTGTGCATGCTCTTTGACATGGACCCCCTAAACCTACATTATATGACTGATAGACAACAACGGATTGACCGAAAAATGTCAAAATTGAAAATACTGTGGAAACAAAGACACCTCTTAGATGCCATTGGTAGGCTAAAACATATCAAAAATTAATTTCAAAGTGAACTATCCCTTTAAAACAAGTGGTATCTGCTGTTTGATGCTACTGTATGAGGTTCTCTTCACTTTTCTGCAATGCCTTGTAACTGTTGTCAAAGTGATGTTTGGCGAATGTATGAAGATGATTTCACTTATCTGAGTAACCACAGGTGTAGTTCACCATTTTAACATATACAAACACTTGGTCTGACAACCAAAAAACAACAAATCTAATATTATAAAATTGAATAGAAATGTCACACTGAACAGCCATAACATAAAACCCACCTGCCTAATATCATGCCTTGAGGAATAGTCTTCACAAGCCCTCTGAATGTGTTCTGTGGTATCTGAAACCAAGACCGTAGCAACATATCCTTTAAACCTGAAAGTTGCGATGTGAGGCTTCCTTGGATTGCATTTATTGGTTCGGCACATCCAATGGAGATTTGAGGAATTTGGAGGCCAAGCCAACACCTTAATCTATGTCAACTCTATGTCATGTTCCACAAACCATTCCTGAACAATTTTCAGGGTGCATTCTCCATCTCAAAGACCCTACTGCCATGAAGGGGTTTGTAGTCTGCAACAATCCTTAGGTAAGTGTCAAAGTAACATCCACTTTAATGCAAGGACCCAAGGTTTCCTAGCAGAACACTGCCCAGAGCATCACACTGCTTTTGCCAGCCTGCTTTCTTCCAATAGTGTATCCTACTGCTTTTTCTTTCTCAAGTGAACAACGCACATTCGTCTAAAATGCACATGCACATGATCTAAAAAAATTCAATACAATCCGATTCATCAGACCAGACACTCTTCTTGCATTGCTCCATGGTCCAGTTCTGATGCTCACATGGCGCTTTTGCACAGGGGTCATCATGGGCACTCCGACCGGTCCTTGGCTACGCAGTCCTATATGCAGCAAACTGTTATGCATTGTGTGTTCTGTTACTTTTCTATCATGGGAACATTGAGTTTTTCAGCAATTAAAGCAACAGTAACTCTTCTGTATGACCAGATGGGCTAGCCTTCTTTTTTTGTTTTATGCATCAATAAACCTGGGATGCGACCCTGATGTCGATTCACAGTTTGTCGTTTCTTGCAACACTTGTGGTAGGTTCTAACCACTGAATGCTGGAAACATATGCACAAACAATTTTCTTTTTAATGTTCACTATCAGTAAAGAATGTAAGTGGGGAGAAACTGGGAGTTAAAGGGTTAAAATTAAGTCATTACTCACCCCCATGCTGTACCAACCCCGTAAGACCTCCGTTCGTCTTCGGAACACAAATGAAGATATTTTTGATTAAATTTAAGAGCTGTATAACAACGCATTCTCACCCCAAGGCGTCACCTTTGACCATGCTTCAATATTTGACGTTTTAGGCGCCCTTTAGCGTCACTTACATGACGCGATCCTACGGCGTCATCTAACTGACGCTAAAGGAAAGCGTCAGTTAGAGCAGGGGTTCTCAAACATTTTGGTGCCAGGGACCCCTTTCAGGGGAAAAAAAATTCCAAGGACCCCCCTCATATTTATAACAGTTATTGAGCACAAAGTTAATGTGTGAGCGGCAAATGAAATATTTTTGCACAAAATGAATGGTCTCCACCCAGGGTACTATGCAGGAATTTCTAAATAGCCTACTGAGATAACGAAAGTGATCTTGCTAGGAATCACTTAGTTAGGATCCCTCACTTAGGAATTTTTGATGTTCTTGATCTACACATGTGCATTTTAAGGTGTTTTAAGGCCCCACAATTGGATAACTATAGATTTAGTAGAAGCATGTCAGTCAGTGGCATACATTTTTTTTTGTTTTTTTTTTTTTGTCAAGATGTCATGAAACACAATCACATATTCCAATCAGGAATGGCCTTAAAAGAGAAATGTTTCAATAATTAGGCCTATTCTGCACACAAATAAAGCCCATAAGCCTATAAATACAATGATAATGGCATTATGTTTAATAGGTGCGTGCGTTGTTAATTTGAGCTACTGTAATTAGCTAAAAAAAACATACAGTATATGTTAAATATATGAATCCATAATGTTAATCTCATGGGCACAGTATGTTTCTATTGACCTGCTTTTTCCTTTGTTAAAGTTGAGCTTGATTAATACTTTGCAAACTGATTGTTTCAGTCGTTTTTTAAAACTTTTATCTAAAACAGCTGTTTAGTTTATGTTAATTAAGGCCTACATCTTATCTCGCACTTTATGACCGTTGACTAAAACGTCGTGCGAAGAACTTTGAGTTCACTCCGACTCAAACATTTTGACATTGACGAGCTATCGTTGTTAGTCTGCTGAAGCACCTCAGACGAGAAGGTCAGTATCATCGCGATGTGCATCCTTGCAACCTCAGTTGTGGGTACGGCCCTGTCACTATGCACTTTTATTTTGATAATGATCAGACTTCTAATGTCAAATCTGTAGCAGCAGTGCTAGAACTGACTATTGTGCGCGCAC